TTTTGTCAAAAAAAGCCTTTGTAAAAACAATAAAAAATAGCAAAAAATAAAATATTTCTTTAATTTAAAAGTTGAATTAAATTAAATGAGGCCTTGTTAATTTAAATTCAATCAATACAAAAAAATATATATTATTTTTTTGAAATTACAAAACAATAACAATATTTATTTTTTATTTCGTAAATAATTTTTTCACCACCTCTAAAAATAGATTTTATTTACTATTTGATATGATATACAAATTAAATATATAGTAAATAGTAGACTGAGAATCCAGTCCGTTGCAAAAATAGAATGGTAAAACAAAATAAAACAAATTAATAAACGCATTTTGATTATGTTGTTATCCATTTTTTTGTTTATTTGAAAAAAAATAAATAATTACATTTTTGATTTTTAATTAACACATATTAAGTTATAAATTCAAAAAAAAATGTTTCTAAATACAAACAATCAATAATTTAATTATTAATAAAATTTCAAAATATTCGTTATAAATATCCAAAAATTCAGTTGATTATATGGAAGAAGACGCTCCTCAAATGACTTTTAAAAAAAGTCTTGTGTTTGGAACTATTTTGTTTTATCAACGAAAAGTGGAATATATTATTGTAACTATTGTAAATGGTGGTTTGAAAAAAAGAACATGTGCTTTGAAGGAAGAAAATGTTCATGTACATCAAAGTTTGATGCTAAGTGTCAAATTGATAATTGTAAAAAAAAACATATACATTCAAAAAGAAGGAAGGAAGCACAACAAACATGAACAAACACCTTAATGGTCACAAAGATATACAATTTGAGTACACACAAAAACCTTTGTCAAAACAAAACGAAATTTCATTTGCAGTGAACTTTGAACTTTTTAAATTTATTGTATCTGGAAGCCTTACTTTCAGGGTTATAAACAATGAACACATTAAAAAGGCGTTTGAAATCGCGAATTCCAATGTGAACGTGGTGTGTGATAATATAATGAGGGAAGGCATTTTGGAAGCAGAGTTTAGAAATGTTCAATTGGAAATTAAAAAGTCAATTGATGGTGTTGATCCCAAATTTTTATCTGCATCAACCGACATCATGAGCAAATACGGAACTTCTTTTATCACTGTCATTGTGCATTTTCCCAAGGAACAACTCGACTTTGTTCATGTTGTTATATCTGTCGATTATTTCCCAGAAGAACACACATGTGATAACATTTTAAATTATGTCACTACGTCACTCGGTTGTGTTGGAATTAAGGAAAAGATCGGGTTTTGTGTTGTTGACGGTGGAGCAAATAACAACAACCTTGTTAACCTTTGCACCAGAAAAATACATTGTTTTGTTCACAACTCCAATTTGTTGTTTGGTGACATCATTGAACACTACGAATGGCTTGGGACACTTCTTTTAAAACTGAACAAATTTGCTAGGTTAATTAAAGTGTCTCCAAAAGCAAAAAGTCAACTTAAAAACAAATGTCTTAGTCTGAACATAAAATTCCACTGTCTCCATGGGTATTGCAAAACCCGGTTCAATTCATGTTTTAGATGTTTTACTTCCTTTTTAAGTATAAAAAATGCCTTAACGGAAAATAAAGACATTAAAATCGAGGAATTTGAGTGGAATGCAATTGAGTCACTTTTGCCATTGACTGGTCTTTTAAACACATTTTACAACACATTTGCAGTTGAAAACATTTCAATACATTTTGTTATTCCACTTGTTAAACTTCTCAAAAAATGTTTTGAGACACGTGGAGAAAGTTGTAAAGTGGATTTGGATAAGGTTGAATACTATGAATGTGAAGATAATGCGGCTGAAAGTGAAATAGTCCAATTTGAAGAAACTGCTAATAATGACATCATCAACATGTATGACAACTTTGATTGGGAACTTTTTGGTATGAACTCCTTTTTGCTTAGGTTTGGTACGGGTTTGAATGACCCACTTTATTTGTTACCTTGCTACTTGTTTCCACAAACACGTGATGGTTATTTGACACAAGAAGAAAAGCAATTTTGTTTTGAAAAGCTTGTTTTTGAATTGGAAATAACTTATCATTCAATGAAAAACAGCCACAAATGGCAATGCTTGATTTTTTGGTGCTTCAGTCCTTTAATCCTCCAACTCAGAAAGCAAATCTAACAAGGGCTGCGGCTATAATGGAATTGTATGAGAGAGACAATAATGAAGCAGGACTCACCGTTGATAACTATTGGAAAAGAAATATGAATTCTGTTTTACTGTTTCACATGATACCTTTAGTAAAAAGTACCTCTTTCTTGAAACAACGAGCATCTCATGTGAAAGACTGTTTAGTCGTACTGAAACAATTTACAATGAATCTCGTGCTGAAATGGATCCATCTAAAGTTGCTAAACTTACTTTAATGAAATATCATTATTAAAGTTTGTTTTTGTTTTATGTTTTTAAACATAATAATTAACCCTTCGAGGACTGAAAATTTTTTATTTTTTTCTTTTTTTTCAGAAAAAAATTTCAAAAAATAATTTCACTTTTCCAAAAAATGAAAATAATGGCGACTTTTCATGAACAATTTAGAACGATTTTTGACTTATTTGAAAAAAAATTGTTCAACTCAAATTCAAACTTTTGAATTATTTATAAAACATTTCATCATTCATAAACTCAAATTAATTGGGTTTTGTTAAAGAGTTGTCCTTCAATCAATTAAAAATATAATTTAACAAATTAATATCAGTAATAAAATTAATACGAAAATAAACTGTTTTCATAAACAAATAAAAATGTTAATAAAAATTGATTAAATAATATTATCAGATATTCAAGTTTTTCAAAAACAAAATAAGAAACACATAAAAAGTGTGCACAATTGTGGGTTCAATATAACCAATAAGATTGCTTCAAACCAAAATAAAATAGAAACATAACAAAAATATTGTTGTTGAAATAAAATGGATTCCACTCAAACTAAAAATACTTAGAGAACCAAATAACATCAAAATATTACGATAAAAACCCGTTGTTTATTATCATTTTTGTTCGTTATTCATCTAACACAACAATAACATTAAATTAATTATCTTATATGGTAAAACAACGCTATAAAACATCAATTTAAGTCGAGAAAAATAGCAGTTTTGGATACATAATACAATGCGTGACAAAAGAATAATAAATTGTATAGTAATTTAAATTATAAATAAACTATAAAAAATCAACCTTTGAATAATATAACTGATAGTAAATTTATTATATATATATATTATGATTGATTATAACAATAATTATAATAATATTAAAACTAAACCAAATAAACACCAATATGAATATAATTAAATTGAGCCAAGCATGAACAGTTTTGATTATGCTTATTCGTTTTTCATTTGCAACTTTCTCCTTCTCTTGTCTGTAGTTGATTTTTGGATTGATTTCCACCAGACAAAAAGATGTTTCCGTACAAATCCTTTCTGATGTCGACATCGCACTTCATGATTGAGTTGTAAATTGTCTCGTGGATACATGATGCTTCCATACCAAGGGATGATAACTGTAAAAGTGCTTCTGAGCGTCTGAATCTCTTGTTGCCAATTGTGATGAATTGGCCATCTGGAAGTTCGTTTGACTTCTCGAGTTCTGATGATGAGGCAGCCTTCTGCATCTCTTCGTTGAAGTCAAGAGCGACATTGCAGAGCTTCTTATTGATGTCTCTGACAATTTCTCTTTCAGCAGCTGTAATGAAAGCATAACATCTCTCAGTCAAGATCTTCATGAGGTAGTCTGTGAGATCACGACCAGCAAGATCAATTCTGAGGATGGTGTGTGAGAAACCTCATTAGATTGGGATGGCGGGAAGAGTGCTTTTGGTCATCCGAATCTCTCGTTTCCAATGGTAATAATTTCACTGTTTGAAAATTTGTTTTATTTTTCGAGTTTCGATGATGAAGCAGATTTTTGCATTTTTTCGTCAAATTAAATGCAAGGCGGCAAAGTTATTTATATTAATAAGTAATTACTTATTTTTTGAATTTTTATTTCAAATATAATAAGAAATTTGTGTGTTATTTCACACAATTATTTAATGTTGATTTACGATATTTATTTGATATTCAAATGTTTTTTCGGGATATAAGGATTAAAAAATGATAATTTTTGATTATAATGTTGTTTTGCACATTGTTGTTGTTTAAAATAGTGCAACTTGAAACTATAAATCTATCAATAACAAATCTTGAAATAACCAACTCAATTATTGTGTTTATTTAAATTTATATCGGGTATTTTCTTTGTTTTATCACAAACTTTTTTGTTTTGTAGCAAATTACGTTGTATTATGTAAGATTTAATTAGTACTTTTAATTAATTTAAACCATTTTATTGTTTAGCAATCTCCAAATAAAAACGCAAAAATGTTCTTTGCATTTTATTTGTTAAAATAGTTTTTATTAATTAAAAATAACTATAAATGAATTGCATGAAGTAAAGTTTTGAACAAAACGGGGTAACCTTACTGTATTTATTTTTAAAATTTTAAACAAAAACGTCTATTTAAAAACACAAAACACAAAACACAATTAGTTACAAAATCAATCGAAAAACAATACATTATAAATTATCTACTATTTTTAACTATAATTGTTAATAATATTATAAGTAACATTTATATGTCTATTTCTCATTGTTCCATTGTCGTGGAATAAGAGATAGTCGTTAATTCATAATATTCTTTAAAATCACCTTTTAAAACAATAATTTTTATCATTTTTTTGTTTTTTGGTGTGTTTGAATAACATTATTTTACCATTATTGTCATTTAAAAAAAACAAATTATTATTTTATTATTATTATATTATTATTTTGGACTCTATATTATTAATGGTAAAATAATATTAGAAATATAGTTTGTTATCAATTCTAACATCCAAATAAATTAAATTGTCATCTATATAACAACTACATCAAGTATATCACATATAATCATTTTTTGATCATTCACTAAACCAGTGTGTTTCTGTTTATATAAATTATATGCTTATTTGTTTTGTTTTAAATTTGAACGATATGTTTTCAGTCAAAACGCGCTTTATTACAAACACTATGTATCTTCTATAATGATAACATTATAATAAGGGTCATTATATCATTTTTGTTATAATTATGCATAAAATTACAATATAGTTTTAATTACACAACAATGTTAAATCAATGTGATCACTTATCACTTAGATGAAATCACATTGTAGTAAAGATACGTTTATTATGTGTTATTGTGTCAAAATTATGTCTGTTAGAGTAACTATAATATATAACAATCATAATTATAAAACTATTATGAATTACATGATTAATTTTAATAATTTATTATTTATTTTATTATAAATTATAGTTTAAAATGTTGTCATTGGTTTTGGTTGTGTTGTTTTTACACTTGTGTTTTTCTTTGTTTTTCATTATCTCTATACATTTACTATAAGTTTTTTGTTTGTTGCCCAAAAATGCATAATTCGAAAATGAATAAACAGTGGCTGCAAAATAAACAATTATTTACCAAATACAAATCTTTATATTCTAAATAGATTGCATAAAACACGTTTTGCCTTTTGTTTTTGTTTGAAAATGATAAAAAAACAATTACAAACAATGAATTCATATCTTGCTTCCTCGACAGTGGCACGACGTGAAATTCAATAGATGACCATAGAACCTCGTGGTGATCAAAGTTTATACAAACGCGACTATATTAACTGTTTAAGTCATTTTATAAATTTTTCTCGATTTTGCGATTTTTGATACTTTTGAAAATGTATTTTAGTTATTTTTTGTATATTTTACATTTATTTTCTTTAAGATTTATTTTTCAAAGTCAGAACAAACAAAAGTGTCTTTTCGTCTTATCTTATTTCTTTTACAAAAAAATAGCAAAACCCAATTTTTAAAATTATTGTATTTTTCAAAGTTTACAAAAAAAATCTATTTATTTTCCTTTGTAATTGTTTTTGAGATCAATTGCATATTGAAATTTCAAGACACCTCAAAGTCTATGCTTTATTATTTTTTCTTTGTTATTTTATGATGCAATTGATTTTGAATATTCTGGACCAGTATGTTTTATGATGCAATTTGGTCTTTGTTATATTTTATAATTAATTTTATTATTGTTATAAGTTGTGGTCATCTCAATAAAATTGTGATCTGACTTTTCCATTGAACCGTGGCTTGTTTCTGAAAGGATCAAGCAAAAAAGTGAACCTTTGTTCATCCCAACTTCAACAAAAAATTCACTTTTTTTTACTATAATTTATAACAATTTACTATAAAAATTTACTAGAGCCGTCGTTCCAGGGTGTCTAGCTTTTTTTGAAAAAATTAAAGAAAAAAAGATCACATTTACATTACAATTGACTAAGATTTTTATTTTTTTACAAATTTTGATTTTTCCCATCCTCGAAGGGTTAAATAAAAATATTAAAAAAACAAAACTAATTATTAATAATACGAGTGTCTGTCTGTTTGTGTGTATTAGTATCGGTTTTAAAAACAAATTTTGGTGCATCAAAGAAGTTTTTATCGTGTTTTTAGAGCTTTAATTTGGCAAATTAGTCGGTTTGTAAATACAGAACGGGTTATCGGGTTTTTAAAACCGATGACTTTTCCATTTTTAGTTATCAGGAGAAAAACAATTGTGGTTGCGCTGAATAACAATTGTTTGTACTGATAATTATTTATGTAAAAAATTAGTTATGTTGTGTTTGTTTTTAAAATAAATGTTTTTACTTTTGTTATATATTTTATTCAAATCTTTTTGTTTTTTTTTGAATAAAAAAACGAAATTGTTTTTGCCTTAAACAAATAAAAAAACCAAAAGTATTTTAAATTTACACAAAGAAAACAAAATGGTTTAATTGTTCAAAAAAAGATTAAAATTGTTCGGTTTGTAAATATTAATTTGAACCGTAAACTATTTTTGCTTCAAATTCGCAGTCTAGTAAATAGGATTTTTAGTATTAATTTGGTCTAGTTCCAGAATTCAAGAATAATACCTATAATTCACATTGAGTCACTAGATAACGAGTAAGACAAAACATAGTAGGCTCAGTTGGCCGCATTCAAACGTTCTCTTTGTGCACTGTTTCACCCACTTTCCGAGTCCTCCATTGGCGTGGATTTCCCCGAACCCCCCGCAAGCGGAAGAATAACATCCAAGTCCGCACAGCACGGACAATGAAAATGAGTGACATGGGGATGCACAAACAGTAGCTAAAAGGAATACTTATTTCAAAAAACACTCTTGACAAATATTTTATTTTGGTTCATGTAATTGTCGAAAAAGCTGTTAACTATAATTGCAACTCGTATATTTTTAATTATAAACAAATTAACATTAATTTTTATAAATAAAATATCAATAAATTGCTTTATGATTAATAATCGTATAAATCTTTAGATTGAAAATTTGTAATTATCAAGTTTTTGTAGTAGTATGTAAATTTGGTTACCTCGTCGCTCGGGACCTTTCCCTCCGGTCAGGTCATCCTCGCTGGGGAACCCTTCGGGTCCCCTTCTTGCACCGAATTTACTTTATTAAAGTACTCCGGGTTCGCGTTTTCAACGCTCTCATCCTCCGTACTTTTTTCTACCTTATATATATTAATAAATAAAACTCCCGCTTGAAAAAAAAGAACAGGGTAACTATTGAAAAAATAGTACGGCTATTTATAACCTAATTTGAGATTAAAAATATTTTTGGAACAATTTTTGTACTTTTTTATTTTTTATTTTATAAAAATGCAAACCAAAGTTGAAACTCTAAATAAAACAATTATCGAGATTCCTTATGGAGTCAAATATTTATCTGAAATAGAAGGATTTAATTCTCCAAACGGTATTTTAAATAAAGTTTTACCAAATGTGGGAGGAACTCATTTTGCGATAGTTTCCAAATATCCTTCAATTATATGTTCTCCTAGAATCGGAATGTTAGAATCTAAAATGAAACAACATAAAGGTTTTCTTTTTGTTAAAGAAGGTTCTAAAGATAAAGAAACGATATGTGATTATTTATATTGTAATCCTAATCCTAAAATATTAGTAACATATGATTCTTTCCATAAATTAATTGTAAACATTCCAAACATTAACAGATTTAGAATAATTGTAGATGAATTTCAATTTATTCTATCTGATTCTTCTTTTAAATTAAATACATTAACAAGATTCTTAAATGCATTATCTGGTTTACAACGTGTTACATACTTATCTGCCACTCCAATTCCTGATAAATATATCGAATTATTACCACAATTATCAAATTTACCTTATTATGAATTTAAATGGATGAATAATGATAAAAAAACAATATATTTTGACGAGAAACTCATGCCGAAGGCTGATGATTCTGGAAACATGTCTAACAATTTTGCCACAAATACTTCTGATTATATTATTAAATCTAAAAAATCAAACAATCCTCTTGAATACATGATTAATTATTTGAAAACATGTAAATCTGGTATTTATGAAAAGAAAAATGAATTGAAGCTAAAGAAATAGTAATATTCATTAATTCTATCAGTTCTATACTTAAGATGTGTTATAAATCAGGATTAGATAAAAATGATGTTAATATTTTAATTAGTAATAATGACGATAATGTTAATAAAATTAACAATTTTAATAAGAAATATAATACTAATTATGAAATAGGAAGTCTGAAAATAGATGAAATAATAGATGATACTGAACACTTGGATTATTTTGGAAGAGTTGTAAACA